AAGCGGGGGTAGGATGGGAAACCCTGCAGTCCTGCTTCTCCTTCTAGTGGAGGGTGAGGGAAAAAGAACCTCTGTGTCCAGCCACAGCAGTGTGCCGTGGAGTTTCTTACCACTGAACTGGGGGACAGGGAGAGGGAACAACAGTCCACATTTAACCAGATTCTCATCTTCCTTACCAGAAGTCTCAGTCAGTTCAGGCTACTATAACAAATTACCATAGACTGGGTGCTTTAAATAATGAACATTTCTCCAGTTCTAGAAGCTAGAGGTCTGATCAGGAGGCTAGCCTGGTCAGGTTCTACTGTAGACCCTTTTCCAGTCTACAGAAAGACTGTTCCTCCTTATCCTCATTTGGTTAAAAGAGAGTTCACTAGATTTCTGACTTATTTCTTAGATTTCTGACTTCTTATAAACTAAGTTCATTCATGAACGCTCCACCTGATGACAATTACCTCCACAGGCCCCAGTTCTAAATCCTATCACATGGGATTAAGATTCCAAAATAGGGGGCAGTAGATGGCATAATGGTTAAGGTGGTGGACTCTCACATGGCCAACAGCAGTTCAAGTCCTGGACCTAGCAGCTTGAAGCTCATGTTAGGTGCTTGTGTGTGGGGGGCCAAAATCTCAAGAGGAGAATGGAGAAGGGATTGCTGTGTGGCCACCCCCCCCCCAGCCCCCGGAGGTGACTTCTCGCTTTTTGTCCATCTCTGTCTCTCTAGCAAGGACATGCACCTTATAGCCAAAATGTCTCAAAAACAAATAAATAATAAAAATAAGATTTCATGGCCAGCAGGTGGCATGGTGGTTAAAGGCCCTGAACTCTCACATGGCTGACCACAGTTCAAGTCCTGGACCTGGTGGCTTGCTTTCTCACTTTCCTTCTCTCTCTCTGTCTTTCTCTGATCAAATTAGAAAATAATAATCATAATAAATAAAGTTAAATAAAATAGTTCTTTAGAAAAAAGATTTTAATATAAGGCCAGCAGAGGTGGCACTGGATTAAGGCACTGGATCCCACATGGCTGACTCTGCAGTTTGAATCCTGAACCCAGCAGCTTGAAAAACACACCAAGCACCTGTGTACACACGCTCAGAATCCTGAGAGAAGAATGGAGGAGGAAGGATTGCGGCATGACCATTCCCTCAACCCTTCTGGGGGAGTGGTATTTCTCATTTTCCTCCCTCTCTGGTTAGTGCATGTGGGATATAGCAAAAAACTGGGGGCAAAAATTAGTCCAAATCCTTTATAACATAGTGGTTATCTTTGACTAAGAACCACATAAAATAATGGCCCTTGGTGTCTCTGGAAAATGCATGTTGTAATTTTGAACACTAGAAGCACACTCAGTGAGTAAAAGGTTCATGGAAACAGCAACTATAGAATTTTAAAGGAAGAAGTAGCAGGTGCAGGGGCCGTCAGGTGGCATGGTGGTTAAAGGTGCTGGACTCCCACATGGCTGACTGCGGTTTGAGGCCAGGACCTGGCGGCTTGCTTTCTCACTCCCTCTCTCTCTTTCTTGCTCTGTCCCTCTCTGGTCAAATTTAAAAATAAACAAATAAATAAAGTTAAATAAAGCAATTCTTTAAACAACAAAAAAGAAATAGCAGGTGTATACCTACTATCTCATGTTTAATCCAGGGCATATGCTTTTTGAGTAGGATAGCTCAATTACCCTTTTTTTTTTTAATCTTTTGTCCTAGGATATATGTGCTTTGCCAGAGAGAGATAGAGAGAGAGGGAAGGTGAGAAATCAACACCCAGGGAGGATGGCCACACCAGAGTCCCTTCTCCGTTCTACTCTCAGACTTTTGGGCATACATGCATACACATCCAGCATGTTTTTCAGGCCACTGGGTCCAGGACTCGAACTGCAGAGTTAGCCATTTGGGACCTAGCACCTTAACCACCATACCGCCTGCTGGTCCTGAAGTACCCTATTTCAATATCTCTTTCTTTTTTTCTGAAGACATAGAGTTGAGTTCTCATTAGGTATATGCCCCTGCATATAACTGCCTGGTAAATATTCCACATGTAGGACATGTGCCATGCATGCATCCATGTAGTCTTATACCGGTCCAGTGTGACTGACTCCCATTTCACCACACATGATCTATCTAATCATGGTTTCGTTTAGGAATGGATCTGTGGGTTATTTAGTATAAAGGCCAAGCTATTGTAATAGATATCCCAAAACCCAGCGGCTTAAGGAAGATAGAAATGTATTTCTCTCATTAATTAAGCTGAGGGGTGGATCTGAGGAAGGGCGGATAGCTCTATTGCATGGGGTCATTTAGAGACTTGGGTTTCCTCCTTTGTGTTGATCTACTACCTCCTAGAGCATTTGAACGATGGGAACTGCTTGAAGACATTGCCTGAATTCTAACTTGAAGGAGAATTAAAAGCTTCTGCCAAGGGGCCAGGAGATGGCATAACATGTACGTTGCTTTTTTTTTTTTTTAGAGAGATTTTCACTATAGGGCGCGTGCGCTTGCCAGACAGACAGAGAGAGAGACATAGAGACAGAAAGCGAGAAATCACCCCCCAGAGGGGATGGTCACGCCGCAATCCCTTCTCCTCCAGTCTCCTCTCGGGATCTTGGGCACGCATGCACATGTGCCTGGAGTGAGTTTTAAGCCACCGGGTCTGGGAAGTGAACCACGGTCGACTATGTGGGAGTCCAGCGACATAGCCATTACGCTAACTGCTGGTTC